GATGCCTGCATGGCTGTATTACCAGGAGACCAAATCTCTGATAAAACACCGAGACCTTCTTCAGGCAGACAACCCATTTTTACATCCTTATGTATGTGGTGAAAGGTAATCCATCCCCATTACAAACCCATACCTACAGGCTTCCTTTATCACGAAAATGGCTACAATTAGCCAAAAGGGGCACATTTACAAAAATTTTCCTGTGATGTTCCATCGAGAAAAGAGCAAAAATCAGCTTCACACCTGGAGACTTCCTGTATCGGGCACAGTCCAGAGAAAGAAGATCACCAGAGTATTATGATTCATCTGTAAGAACGTGTAATGCTTCCGTGTTCCACACATTACATCTCACCAATTTAGTCAATATGGATTAAATATGAGAGTGTGGCAATGCACACACTCTATCTGAGGAGGAAAATAGAGCAATTTGAAGGCTCTGACAATAGCAACTTCAGCACCAAGGAAATGATTTCACCCTCATTAGCCTCAAATTTACTTTTCATGGCATGTCTGCAGGGTTCCAAAGTGAGAGCAGCTGAATTCAATGCGTATGCAATTCCCAGGTGTCTACTTGTATTCTGTTTTCTTTACTTCTGTTCGCAGAAAGTAGACACATACTCACCCTTAGTGCCAGTGTAGGGAGTGCTTTCTTTGACATGGATACAGGAAAGAAAGGAAAAAAGTGGGCCGATTAATGTTAAAATTAGCCACTGTGTGTGTGTGTGTGTGTTATTTGAATACTAGAGTTGAATTGGGCTTCTGTCCACGTGCAACTGCACCTGCAGGTATTCTCAGGTGCAATAATCAACTGCAAGACCCTAAAGAAAATAAGAATCTCCCGCCAAATCCCTGAAGAGTTTTTTGGGTTCACCATATGTCAAAGGATTCAGTGCCTCTGGAGCTCCAGGAAAGGGCTCCCCAGTGATGCATGAGATCTTTTCTTCAGGTCTCCCTGTACAGTTCTCTGGGTTTCTGAAGGCCAATTCAGTATTTCAAAAGATGGTGTGAGAAGCATGTTGTGTCACTAAAGGAGAATTCTGAGCCAGGGCACAGCCACTTTATACCGGGCTAGAGACACTGGTAGGAATATACTCTGTAAGCTCAGACAGAAACGCTCCTGCTGGGTAGGGGCTGGGTTGCAGGAAGCGTTCAGGATAAACCCAGCACAGGCTCCCGCCCCAGAGCAGGTGCACAGCTGGCTGGGGAGGGGTTCCTCTCAGGGCCCTGGACTTCCTTTAAAAATATCTAATATAAGTATTTCACAAGGACTTCTGATGTTTGTATAAATATTCCATTCAATTGTGAGCATTTATCAAACTGGATGTTGTAATGAGAACCACTTTCACAATGGGGATTTCAAACTCTGCTAGTTATCTTAATAGTAAGCAGCTGGAGGTCAGGAAGAGATCCTTTCTTTTAAATCAGTGCAATTTTTGGACAAACACAGTCATTCCCAAAATAACGTATTCGCATATTAAGGTCTAGAAATGGTTCAAGTTGCCTCTGATTCATTCAAATGTGGATTCAAAGTGAGGTGTGTGTCATGGGGGAGCTTGTTCTCCAGTGGGGGAACCTCTGTCAACACAGAGTTCAGGGATGTGTAGGGGACACATGGCCTCTAACAGGATTACTGTTTGAACCCTCAGCTTCTACAACTGTGTCGTCTATGTGTCATGTATTTTCTCTTTCTCATACTGGGTCAGAAATTGGGCTATTAAATAGCATCCTTCAAGAATATGCAAATCACTGAGGCTAATACAGATAACTCTGTGCCCTGAGAGCATCACCCAACAACCACACCCCTCCTGGGGACCACACCCCACCAACAGCATAGCTCCTCACCATGGACGGGACCTACAGGATCCTCTTCTTGGTGGCAGCAGCAAAAGTTAAGGGGCTCCCCAGTCCCAGGGCTGACAGAGAAACCAGGCCAGTCAAGTGAGACTTCCCGCAATCCTGTGTCCTCTCCACAGGTGCCCACTCCCAGGTGCAGCTGGTGCAGTTTGGGCCTGAGGTGAAGCAGCCTGTGGCCTCAGTGAAGGTTTTCTACAAGGCTTCTGGTTACAGCTTTACCACCTATGGTATGAATTGGGTGAGACAGGTCCCTGGAGAAGGGCTTGAGTGGATGGGATGGATGAACACCAACACTGGGAACCCAACGTATGCCCAGGGCTAAACAGGACGGTTTGTCTTCTCCATGGACACCTCTGTCAGCACAGTGCATCTGCAGATCAGCAGCCTAAAGGCTGAGGACACGGCCGTGCGTTACTGCACGAGAGACATAGTGTGGAAACCCATATCCTGAGAGAGTCAGAAGCCCTGAGGGAAGAGATAGCTGTGCTGAGCTGAGGCAGTGGTGCAGCAGTTTCTTTATCTTCCATATGATCTCATTTTGCATCAACTTCCACTGTTATATTAGCCATGAATGTGGGGTAGACGGGTGCTCCTAAGAGATCCCTAACTTGTCCATTTTGATGGGTTTTCCAGAAGACGTGAGAAGCCACTTTGTTTGCAAAGCATCCCAAAGCCACGCCCTGCTCCACATATACGAGTGCCCATTTCCTCGTCTTTGGTTAACTGTAAAACGCTCATCAGTGCACCTGGGCTAATTTCATATCAGGTAGAGGAACGTGTTCTAAAGGAAAGCTAAAGTTGTAATAGCAATTCCTGCTCAGTAACCTTCAGCTTCACTGTTTTTGTGTGACCCATCAATTAATTACGTTACATCAAGGTTCTCAATGGCAGGTTCTAATTAATATAAAGGATGAATAGAAGTTCCCTAATTAAAACAATACAGTTGTGAACACAACCTCAATATTCAACCATGTCTCCACCCTTCACACTGTTCACCACAAAGGAATTTTCATCTCTCCTGGAAGTTGGGTTCATTTTGAAATTAGCGATTTTTTTTCATTTTAATATCTCAAGATTATCGAATGTGACTATTTTATCAGAAAGTGAGTTATGGGAACTTGAACTAAACAACTGATAACAAATTCACAACTAATTAAACAAGATGACAGAAGGTGATTGGCTCCAGGCTTTGATAATTCAGCAGTCTATGTACCCAGACTTTAAATTTACACATCTTCCTGTTACCTTCACACATCTTCAGTTGACCACAGTCAACTCCCATTATGAAAGAAATTGTGAGGGCATTTTTAAGGGTCACGCACAGTTACAAAAATGGACAGGGTAAGCTGAGGAGTTGATTGTTTAATTTCCCATTTGAAGAAGTAGAGTCAACTACTTTTCTGAATGGCTCACAATGACTCCAGCTGACTCGCAGAGCTCAGACAGAAACCTCCCTTCAGGGTGGGAGCTGGGCTGCAGAGAGCACTCAGTGCCCATAAAGATGAATATGAGCTGTCAGATCGAACTTCCCTGTCACCTCAACATGGAATTTATTGTTTCATTTCATTAGCACTCTTTACGTAATGGTTCATTTGTTTTGGTCTGTTCATTACTTGTATTTTTCAAAGGAATCTCACTTGAATCTTTACTCTTTTGCATTTTGTCTCCAGGACAAGGTTGGGAAGTGTTACCTCCAGCATCATAACATGATCTAGTGACCTGACACATTTGTGGCAAAGAATACCTACCAATTCAGAAGCTCTTTGGTTTTCTTTCCATGAAACAGAATTATTTCTTCTGTTCTGTGTATGAGCGTATCCTAGCAATCCTGTACACACCCACATAGATGTCTACAAGCCTATGAATTATTCTCTATAAATAAAAATTTATCTCAATTTCCATCAATGTTCATAATTCTCATGATGGTGAGGAAGGTCTTTCTGGATCTGTTTAAGCAAAATGTCCAGAGACCACCTGGTAGGTAAGGAGTTCACCTGGCTCTGATTGTTGGGTCTGTCTCTTTCCCTCTGTTGTTCCACAGGTCAGCTCACTTGTTCAGTCCTAACAAGAGAGCCCAGGTTTGTCCTGATGTTGAAACACACCCAACTTCTGATGACTCTCCTGTTACCCACATCCATGGAGATAGATTATTTACTATATAATTCACCAAACTAATGTCATATGCCCAAGATGTAATACCGCAAACTCTAAGGTATGTTCATGCAATTCAATGAAGGAGAAAGTCTTTCAGACACAGGTGCCCCTGACACGATAAATATGTGGATAAGGACTCTGGGCTTGAGTGTCATTGTCCCGCCATGTTTCAGAAGTGTGACCTGTCAGGGAAGAACCAGAGTTCCTTGTGCTCTCAGAGGGGAGGGCTCACACATGTCCTCTCTTGTTCCCAGGAAAAGCAATTGCACTAATCTTGATGATGAGACTATGCTCCTGTGCTGACCTAGTATAGTTTTTGACTGAAATTGTCACTGTGATCCCCAATCTACATCTATTCACACAGAAGTGTATAAAGATCAGGCCACATTCTCAGCATCACACATTGACACGGTTGGAGATATGTCCCACTACCTTCTCCTTAGATTGCAGACAGAATCCTAAACTTCAAATAGTCACAAAATGGAAGGCCTCAGATTTTTTTTGTTTTTATGATGCACTCTCTGGGACAGATATATTCCCTCTAACCATGATGGATATTCTGAATTACAACAAACATTGCATGGATGTAGGTTTGTATAAATTCACTGTGACGAATATATTTAGCTGCTGCCCTAATGTTTTGGAGATTTGACAATTTAGATAATCTGGATGTTTGGTTGGTTTCATATAAATCTTCACGGGTAGAACAGCTTTGAACCTATTCCAAAAATCTGTCCTTGATCCATGATCACACTCATCTCCCAGACCAGCTCCTTGAGCACATCTACCTACTTGGAAGAAGAGGACTCTGGGCTTGGTGAGGGGAGGCCCCAGGAAGAGAACTGAGTTCTCAGAGGGCACAGCCACCATCCTCCTCTCAGGGTGAGCCCCAAAGACTGGGGCCTCCCTCATCCCTTTTCACCTCTCCATACGAAGGCACCACCCACATGCAAATCCTCACTTAGGCACCCACAGGAAACCACCACACATTTCCTTAAATTCAGGCTCCTGCTCACATGGGAAATGCTCTCTGAGAGTCATGGACATCCTGTGCAAGGACATGAAGCACCTGTGGTTCTTCCTCCTCCTGGTGGCAGCTCCCAGATGTGAGTGTCTCGGGGATGCAGATATGACGATATGGGAGGTTGTCTGTGATCCCAGGACACACTATGGGTCTCTCTGTTCACAGGGGTCCTGTCCCAGGTGCAGCTGCAGGAGTCGGGCCCAGGACTGGTGAAGCCTTCGGAGACCCTGTCCCTCACCTGCGCTGTCTCTGGTGGCTCTATCAGCAGTAGTTACCACTACTGGAGCTGGATCCGCCAGGCCCCAGGGAAGGGACTGGAGTGGATTGGGTACATCTCTTATAGTGGTAGCACCAACTACAACCCCTCCCTCAAGAGTCGAGTCACCATTACAACAGACACGTCCAAGAACCAGTTCTCCCTGAAGCTGAGCTCTGTGACCGCCGCGGACACGGCCGTGTATTACTGTGCGTGCAACACAGTGAGGGGAGTTGAATGTGAGCCCAGACACAAACCTCCCTGCAGGGAGGCGGAGGGGGCGGGCGCAGGTGCCGCTCAGGACCAGCAGGGGGCGCGCGGGGCCCACAGAGCAGGAGGCCGGGTCAGGAGCAGGTGCAGGGAGGGCGGGGCTTCCTCATCTGCTCCGTGCTCTCCCTCCTCACCAGCACCTCAGCTGTCCCCAGGGCTCCTCTTTCTTTGATATCTGTGGTTCTGCTTCCTCACATTCTTCTGCCAGAAAAGAAAGGAGGAAGGCACATTTTCCTCTTACAATTGAAGTTTCACCGATTACTAGGAACTTTTCTACAAGTTCCTGCATGGCCCATTATTCCTTAGTGATTAAAAATATATATATTCTAATGCTTCTCACCATCTCTTGATTTGTGTCATCAATTGAATTGTGCCCTCTTTGAAATTCATATGCTGAAATCTTAGATTCAATGGATCTGTATTGGAATTTTATTGATATAATTAAGGTTAAATGTGGTCAGAAGTGTGAGAACCTAATGCAATAGACATGGTGTCTTTATAAGAAGAGGAAGAGACACCAGAGACCTCTCACTTTTCACGTGCACGCAGAAAAGAGGCCATGTGGAGACGCAGTGTATTAGAAGGTGCCCCAATGCATGCCAGGACGAAGTTGCACCAAGAACCAACTCTGCCAGCACCTTGATCTTCAACATTCATACTTCAGAATTGTAAGAAAATCAATATTTGTTGTTTAAGCCACCCACTCCGTGTTGTCTTCTTAGGAAGACCCAGACAGACTAATACCACAGAACTCATAACTCTGTTAGCGCTGTCCCCTGGATGGAGAATCAGCCCCCTGAAGCTGGGCACATCGCTCAGAATCCTACATAAAGTAGGCAAAAAATAGTAGGTGTGATATAAAAACTTGTCATGTCCCTGTTGACCAATTTCTGGGCAAAGTGTTTTAATGAAGCCCCTGGGGCTTTGTCACAAAAGTTGTCTTTTATCTTTTCTGACGACCTAACTAATGGACAATGGGTACCAGCTGGATGGAGACTGACCACTGACCATCTTCTGCTGTCTCCTTAGCATGCCACAGAAAACCACACCAACATCACTCTATGTCTTCAACTTTCTAAATTTGCACTGAATCTATTGCTAAATGAGGTGCTACATGAAGTCAGAGTTTTGTTCCCTTCTTCCCAGTCTTCCTCAATTACCAAGGACTGAAGAGACTTTCAATGAAATTTGGCTGTCAATGCCCCCAGCACCACATCACTTTTTAAGGTCCAGGAACTTTATTTGGGGGATAGTGAAATACACTTTTAAATGGAAAGCCCTAAAGCACATACAACAGCTGAAGGAATGGCCACTGTGCACCTGAAGGCTGATAAGGCAGATGGTAGGGTCCCTTCCTCCAAGATGTTCCTGGGTGTGTGATGGTTGGATGCCTCAGGCATATGGAATTAAAGACTGGACTGAAGTAGAAACAAGGGCCATATCCCATAGGAAAACAACAAAAGAACAGGTGGGCATCCGTGAAGACAGGTAATTAAATTTGTTTAGTTTAAGATGAAATTTTTTTCCGAAGTTTTTAATGTTCTTAGCTAAATATGAGTCTTTTCAACAAACTGAGAATTAAAAGGAGAATGGAGTTCGAAGACGAGAGAGAAAAAAAGTCCTGAGAGAGCAGAAAGAAAATTCACACAAAACTATCACATGGCAGAGGCCAGAATGGAGCTGATGCAGCAATGTCATTATCCTGCAGACCTAGTTGAGACACTTTGGTATTTAAGGCAGGCCCAGCGGTGAAGAACTCGTTTAGCTTTTGCTTCTCTGGGAAAGGTCTTGCCTATCCTTTATTTTACAAAAAGATTTACATGGTAAAGTTTCTTGGTTGGCAGAGTTTTGTTTGTTTTTCAGTTTTTTTCCCCGAGCAATTTGAATACAATCATGGGACACTTAAAAATGATTCAACCCCGTCTCTACTAAAAATACAAAAAATGAGCCGGGCGCGGTGGCGGGCGCCTGTAGTTCCAGCTACTCGGGAGGCTGAGGCAGGAGAATGGCGTGAACCCAGGAGGCGGAGCTTGCAGTGAGCCAGGATCGCGCCACTGCACTCCAGCTTGGGCGACAGAGCGAGACTCCGTCTCAAAAAAAAAAAAAAAAAAAAAAATGATTCAGTCAACAATAGACCACATATATGTTTGTGGCCACATAACATTGTAATACCATATTTTCCCTAAGGATGTTCCATATTTAGATGTGTTTAGATAAACAGATACCACGGCGTTTCAGTTCCTTGCAGTGTTCGGTGCAGTAACACTCTGTACAAGTTAGTTGTCTGGAAACATTGTGCTATTCCACATAGTCTATGTGTAGTAGGATATTCCTAGTAGGTTTGTGTAAGTTCTCCCTATGATGCTTGCACAATGATGACATTGACTAGAAATACATTTCTCAGAAATAATCTCTATCAATAAACCATACATTATCTAATATAATTCCTCTCCATTCTGAACTGACAATCTTCTGCTGAGAAGTCTCCTAAATCTGCTCTTTTACTCTCCGCTTTCAAAAACCTTTCCTTTGTCAAAGTCGTTACAAACTATCTCTGATTTTTCTCATTTGGTTTACCTTATTTGAAATGTATAGAGCTTCATAAATGTGGACGAATATTTGCTTCTTCAGATTTAGAAAGTTTCTATGCTATTACTTCTTTAAAAACCTTTCTGCCTCTCTTGCTCTGTCTGTCTTGCTCTGTCTCTCTTTCTGTCTCTCTCTCTGTCTCTCACCCTCTTCCTTCACTACCACTTTTGTCGAGTCTTTGCATAACTCCGCAATGCATAAAATTTCATTTTCACTGTGCTTCCTGACTCATAAGTCTTTAACTTTTTTATTTCTTTCATTTAAATTTTTCTTCTTTGTCTCTATTATTTCAAATGACCTTTCTTTGAGTTTACTGTTTCTTTTATTATTTGGTCTAATCTTGTCTACAATCTTCTTAAAAATTTTGTCTGACTTATTGTATTCCTGAGCATCAATATTTTTGTTTAGTCATCTTTTAAATGTTTTATCTCTATTAAAATTCTCGCATTGTTCTTGCATGATGCCACTAGCTCATTGAACATGTTTCTAACATTTACTTTAAATTTTCTTCCAGGTAATCCATATGCTTCCTTTTCATTGATAACAGTTTCTAGATCTTTATGTTGTTCTTCTGTTTGGACCATGTGCCCCTCCTCCTTCATTTTCCTTCACTGTCACTGTTGCTACCTGTTCATTATAACAAAAGCCACCACACACTCTTCAAAAACGAGGCTCATAGAGATCACCCTCACCAATCAGTCCAGGCAGTAATTTGGGTCTCTCAAAACTTCATAGTATTCAAACTTCTATCTCTGTTCTTAATGGCCCTCGGGATTTAGAGGATGATAGATTCTGCCAGAAATGACAGGTAGGGGAGGTAGAAACTATTTACTCAAGTAGCCCCTTGAAAATTTGGACCACTGGACAAAGTTTTATTATTGATGTATGATTCATCAAAATAATGTTAGTTCAATCTTCTCTCAACCAGTCATTAAACATTGAAATTTTATCATTTCTTATTTGAATCTGGGGTTTAATCTTTGAGTATTTAGGTAAAATTACAAACTAGTTTAAATCTGCCTATTTGGCAAACTGATCTGTTGCTGAATTTCCATTTTCTGTGTTCTCTCTGTGCATTTAAATCTAAATCTGTATTAAACATGCATCTAGAATGCGGAAAAGTGTCTTACAATTCCTTAATTTATTTAATTTAATGGGGTTTCCAGAAGATGTGAAAATCTCCTTTGTTTATCAAACACCTGACTATTGGTCAATAGTTTTCTCTTTAATTTTTCTCTCTCCTCTCACATTATCTATAATAAGCAGTGAGAAATGAAGACACACCATCGACAGTTTGCTTAGACATCCCACCACCTAAAATTCTAACTCTCACTTACTAATTCTAACTTCATCCAATGTAACATAACTAAGATAGAAATTCTATAATAAGGTACACATAGTTTCCAGTTCTAATACCACGTTTGTGACAGAAACAAAGCAGGTGTGCTCTCTGCGAGGTGGTCATCTGAGGTCTGAGACGAGGGGTCACACAGGTATTTTTATTATATTTGAGGGTTTGGGCAACAACAGTGATAACAATTCTGATCATCACTGGCTCTTACCGGAAAGTTTGCAGGTTAAGTTACTGCTGTTATTACACCTAGTTAGAATGAAGCTCAGAGGAAGAGGTCACATCCTAGGTCACACAGTGAGGAGGAATGGAGCTGTGCTCTGCTCTCCACACTACGCACAAGATCCCAGGCACGAGCCCAGGTTCCACCGACAGGTGGCATCTGGAGGGCAGTTCTCAGGGGATGGTCTTAGCGCACCTGCTTCCTGGGGCAGGGTGCTTCCTTCTCTCAGTTGTGCACTTGCTCCTTTTGACAACTCTGAAGTGACCATTTGCATCCATATGAATTATTCATATTCTCTCGCATATTATGGCAAAAAGCATATCTATTAAATTTTCAATTCATTTTCTCTGAAGCACACTGTGTTAGCAGAAAGGAATAAATCACATTCCTTCACCTCCCCCACAGCCCAAGATTCCTGAAGACAGAGCCGATGTGATGTACTCATAGGTGGATCTCTGCTCCATCTATGAGGAGGTGGCCTTGGTCTTCAAGCTTCAGCAATTCTGGGAAGCCAAGGACACTTCCGTCTCCTCCTCCCTGCTCTACAGCTCACCTGAGAACAGTTTTCTCATTGGAATATCATCTGTTTAAGGAATACAAGTCACTGCTTTAGTATTTGGGGCCTGAGTCCACCTACTGGGTCCAGCCCAGGACTGGAGATACTTTCCAGAACACAACTTCACCTGAGACATGTCCAGTCACACTGTTTTACTTGCACAATTTCAGCTTCCTCAGAAGAAAATTAAAATTGCTCAGTCTTTTTCATAAACGTTTTGCCATGTCCTTTTTCTGTTTCCTTGCCCTTGTATTATGTTGTCAGACCAGGTACACTTTATGTAAGAGTCAGATTTCTGCCTCGTACAATCTGAGGTGACTTGATTTGTATGTTTTGGTTTAGGTTCCAAATGGTAGATTTAATAAATTCATACCTCAATTTTGTTTTTATGTCAAAGGAATCTGGACATATCTGAATGTCAACCTTTTTGATTCTACTTAAATACTCGCGCTAGCAAGAATCTTACCCACTCGTAAAAATGGATGGAGGCGAAGGGTGCGGCGCGGGGCCTTTTAAATGCCTTGAATTGCTTGAACTGGAATCCAGGAGTTGCAGGAAGCCACAAGATATTTGAGGAGGCACTAGCATGACCAGCCCCAACTATTAGACATCTGAAAGACAGATGTGGACTCGGTAAATGCAACAGTTCCAGAGGGTCTTTCACTTCTAAAGTTTCTCTACTTTCTCTAGAAACCTCAGGATTCTAAAAAATGAAATCTAAATGCATTTCCTATGGATCAGAATTGCAGATGATGAATTACTGAGAAACATACCAGGAGCCTGCTTCAGGAGCTTCTACAGGGAAGGACTTTTCCAGAACCTTATCTTATGTGAACGAAGATAAATCTTCCCTTCCAGATTTTTCTTCCATCCTTTCATTATTATACAAATGAGCAAAGTTAGCTAGTAGGGGTAAGAAGTAAGTAAATAGTCCAGGGATGCTGAAACCACTGTGGGGAAAAGGAAGAGAGATCAGCCTGTTACTGTGTCTATATAGAAAGAAGTAGACATAAGAGACTCCATT